CTCAGTGAAGATTTGGGGTTTTACGGTACAGACGTAGAACGTGTTTCCAGTTCGACGCAACAGTGGCAAATGCGATGCCATATGAGTTATACTATACCTCCTAATGTGTATCATTTGGTAAACTAGTCTCTGTAGGTGTTTGGAGGTGCGAACCACAGGGCTTCGAACCCCTGTGGTGACAACCGCGGTACAGGTAGACTAACAACTAGTCTCTGAAATGAACATATTTTACTGAAAAAAGTTCATAGTAAAAAAAATTAAATATAATGAAAAGGAGCCCTGAGACTTTCTGCCTGAAGCTGAGGAAATCTAGACTTGCCACATTTTCTAGACTTGTGTGGGCTTTCTTGGATATATTTGCTTCAAGGTCTGTACGACAGACTACGGTTCAGGATACGCTAACCATTTTCGTGAACTCGTGCCGTCACTGTTTAATACTGGGTGCCTATTCTCGAAAGTGTCCCAGCTAAGACAGATCCTAACTAGTTAGGACAGAAGTTAGGACATCCTACCGTTAGGATAAGACCCATTCTCGAAACGATCCTACCTCTGTCCTAACTTGAGCTACCGATCCTAGCTGGGATAGTGAGCTCTTCAGCAGGTGAGATAGAAAAACATTCATTAAGTTGGGGATTCCCCTAAATATTACCCATGATTCATTCCATAAAACACAGACATACAGTGAATAAAGGTAACTACAATCTCATTTACACGATAAATGGTAAGACTAGAAATCGATGTAAAAAGCTTGAAAGCGGTGAAATTCAGCTTTTGGTGCACTTAGTAGATCAAGAAGAAATTATAATTATATAATTATAAGAAATATAGAGTGACTTAGTACTTGAATAGATTTAAAATATTTAATGAGATTTTTTAATATCTATTCGTTCGAATTACCATACTTCCAGAAAAAAGTATTATTAAATGTTGATATATTCGATATTTTCATCACACTATAGTAGTTTTAAAGTTCTTGAAAATTCATTTATTTGACAAGGAGATAACACTTTTACTTCATAGTTTGAAAGTATGCCAAAAAGAAATGTGCACATAATATTTTCATTTTTAAAAAAAAAAATTATGTTTAATCATGACCTGAACTCTCATTATGCGTCATCTCACAAACTGAAAAATCACCTAGGAAATTAACAGAAGTTACTTCGCCTGTCAAGTTGGCCTAGACATTGACATTTAAAACCCTTCTTAACTCATCAAAACTGTGTGTGTGCTGTTGTAAATTTAAATGTAATTTAGGCGAGTTATTGTGTTTGACAACGTCAAAATTGGTGAACAAACAAGAACCACACCACGTTGAGTTCCACTAAGATAGACTTAGGACAAGTCAGAACCTATCCTAGTATTTGTCCTAAGTTAGGATATCCTAGCGCTAGGATACATTTCGAGAATAAGGTAGGACACCTACCCAAGACCCTAGGATGAAAGTTAGGATATCCTAGGGCTAGGATCCTTTCGAAAATAGGGGCCCAGATATTTATTATCCACATGTGCACATATCACTTTTGCCTAGCAACCATTGTTTCAGTATTTCGCCGTCTGTGACGTCATTAAACAATGGAACGCGACGTCAATGAACAGGGCCGTCACACTTGCTTACCGTGTTTTACTGCACAAATGTACATGAATAAAATGTATAATAAAGAAAGTATTACACGAGCAAGTGCGTCATACGACTGATACGAAACTCGCTCGGGCAATACACGGTTTCACACTCGTTTCGTATCAGTCGTATGACACACTTGCTCATGTAATAATCTCTATATATAAACATATTCTTATGATGTAATCGGAATCGTACAATATATTATCATGTTAGCAGAGATTACTTGTTATTATTGAATGAATATTACTTTGTCGGGGATTTTTATGTGGCATTTTAGCTGTAGTATCAATACGAAGAGAGTTAATGCATGCATAGATTAACAACTAGTCTCTGAAATGAACATATTTTACTGAAAAAAACGTTCATAGTAAAAAAAAAATATATAATGAAAAGGAGCCCTGAGGCTTTTTTAATTTTTAGAGGAAATCTAGACTTGCCACATATTCTAGACTTGCGTGGGCTTTCTTGGATATATTTAGTTCAGGGTCTGTATGGCAGACTAATCCATGCATTTCACCTTTCTTAGTCTTTCAATTTGCTATCGCAGTCAAAGACAAAAGCATAAATCGCAAAGAACGTGGTTTTATATAAGATTGATCAAACACACCCAGTACTGATTCCAAGATACTTTCCTATATAACATGTGTTAAAATATTGATCAGTAAGTAATGTGTAAGCTTTTTCTCCCACTAGACATGTTATAGATACATGTGTGTCTTGAATTCACTGATGTGTTGGGTCGATTAATTCAATATATATGAAACATATGCTATATTAACGAGTGTGTCCTGGATTCAGTCCATGGTTTTTATTGATTAATTCTAAATATAGCAAAACAAGATGCATATACCAGCTACATATGGATTCAGTGAGTGAGTGAGTGAGTGAATGAGAAATGAGTGAATGAGTGAGTATGTTTTCCAGCAATGTCACGGGGACGGACAAATGAAATGGACTTCAGTTTGGATTCAGCAAAGAGTTGGGGGTGAATAATTATATATATGTATATTATATATATGTTGAGTTCAGTTATGTGTTGGGTTGCCTAATTCCATAAATATTTTTTTTAAATGCTATATGTACACGGGCGTTTTTTTGAATTTTCAAATATGTGGGTTATTTTTTGGTAATTCTTGTATACATGTATATATGAATATATTTTACGAACCAGCGTGACATTTATTTAGTACAGAGTTATGTTAATTATTTCTCCAAATATAACATATGTTAAACAGGCAAATGAGTCTTAGACGTAACCTAACACAATACATCGTGAGAGAGGTATCCTTTAAGTTGTATATCGGAATCTGTACCAGTACAACTCTCGTGCGTACCACAAAGAATGTGGTAATTATTTTTGGCTTGGACTGTAGCCTGTAATACATACAAGTTATTGTTCACATTTATTTTATATGTTACGACGAAAAAAACAAGGTTAATTTCACATCCATTTATAGAGGTGAAACTTGAAGGTAGTTAATATAATATATCAAATTCGGAAACACATGACTTAGTAAACATAGAAGACTTGAATATGGTATATAATGCTTTTATCAGAGCCTCGTATGGCAAGTATACTACCCATCAAAAGTTTCGACTCGCTTAAAGCACCCACTACATGTTATGTAAATATATATGGTTACATCGAGGATGAATTTCTCCACTAACTTCGGGGAACCAACAATCCCCACATGGGTACAATGTGTGAAGCCCATTTCTGGTGTCCCCCGCCGTGATGTTGCTGGAATATTGCTAAAAGCGGAGTAAAACCAAACTCAGTCAGTCAGTCGGGGAACCAACTGCAATCTTTATGCAGATGAATTGCACGTTGATCATACACATTATACATAGAATTGCTGAAAAGCATGTGCAAATATCGTGCATGAACAGCTGCGCTTTGGTGTAAAGTTTTGTTAAGAATTCGCCAATTTTCACTGAGTTTCATCATTTATTGAACTCATGACAATAATCTTGTCAACGTTACGAATTTGTTTTAAAATACATCAGTTCATGTGTAAATAATCGAGTCTGGACCAGACAATCCAGTGATCAACAGCATGATCATCGATCTGCGCAATTGGGAACCGATTACATGTGTCAACCAAGTCAGCGAGCCTGACCACCCGATCCCGTTAGTCGCCTCTTACGACAAGCATAGTCGCCTTGTGTGGCAAGCATGGGTAGCTGAAGACCTATTCTACCCCGGATCTTCACGGGTCGCTATGTCTTTATGCCCTTTCACAGACGTAGTACCGGACTTTATTATACATCGATAAACACCTTGCACATTTAGGCAATCAAGCTTAAGTGTTTTCATTGGGGAGTTACAAACAAATGAATCATTAGTCTACAGTTTAAGAAATACATAATCTTTATAAGAAAACGTTCAACTTTATGGCTTACTGTTTCTAGTCTATAAAACAGATAGCTACGTATTTAAAACCGCATAATTAATATTTTTCAATGTAATCGCTATTATGCATGCATAAATCTATACCAAAATTCCGATGTATGCTGTGTGGCCCTAAGAACTTAAAATTGAATAAATTCTGTCTGTTTATAGCAGATAGCGACGTTTCAATGAGGATTCGTTTACCGTTATCTCGCTGCAATGATAACGGTGTAAGAATCAACATAGAAAAGTGGCTACATGCAATACACCAGAACGTTTTATCAACAAAGCTGCATGTTTTCGTGTTACTGAAATGCTAAAAGGACAATCAAACAGTTATTTGCCTTTTTTTTAAATGTTGGCTGTAATTTCGTTCTGCAGCGATATTAATGTGAGTAATTAGAAGTGTGAAAATATCTGTTAGATTAAAACAGTTAGTTACAGTTGGGTTAAAATATCCAGGTGTCATCTGTGATCGGTCATTCGTGTCAATCGTCATATATTGACAGATATAGGACAGAAATATGAATTATGATCAATTTAAACATGTAGTTTGAAAACCGCACTAATAGATAGAGGAATTATTTTGCGCTTCAAGAATTAAAAGAAACATGAATATAAATGTGAATTTTAAATAAAATTAGTTTTAACAATTACCAGTCTTTTGTTAAGCTGCATAAAATCAAACTATTTCAATGCAAAACAGGTATAAAAAAAATTAAAAACGCTTCTTAACATTGTGGCCTTGGGTGTTATGAAAGGTAACGCCCACATAATTAAAATGAAAATACCCGGCTGGATAATCACGGGCAATCTGTTAAAAGTTATTATCCAAACCTGTTTGATGCATGTGCAACCGCTAGCGTAATTATGCACTTTGTGCACATTGCAGATCATATCATGTTTATGCAAGTGAGTTAAAAACTAACAGCTCCCTCCTTTCGTTGAGTGCACGAGCGTGCAGGAATGCATCGCTGAGTCTGTTGTAATAAGCAAGGCAGTTGGTGAACACAATGCATCTCTGTGAATAACCCTCTCATGAAAACAAGCCCGAGAGTGCGCAGACAGACAGCTACAAATGCTCCTACCAGCCTAAAAGCAAGTAAACCCTTTGACGGAATGTCGATCGAACCAACGCTGTGTCAATTAACCAAGTCATGTGACCGTTCAGAGAGGCAGATCTGTATTGCGGACTCGGAATAATATCTAGCGAGGATGTGTGAATTTATCTGAATTATTCCCCTGGACGCGAAGCTCTGAAACTCGGAGGTAAGCCATGTTGATTTCTACTCTTTCGCTAGGCTATGTATGTAGTTTTCGAGCACGCGAACCCGTGCAGCAAATTCACCGCTATACGAAGCCGGTTGAGTTTATTTTCGGGCAAAATGGCGTCCACGGCAAACCGCATACAAGCTGACTGTTCAGGTCGAGTATTGATCCTAAGGCCTAGTTTCGCATGTGAGCCTGCTATGCAGTAGTAGCATTGAGAGCGGTGACAGCTCCTGCATTCTGTTTCAACATCACAGCAATAGGCTACAGTTGTGACGCAATGCCTGTCATGTCCGACCCCTAGCGGATGTCAGGAAGAGCTGTATGTATCTCACACTTTGATTTACTGCGAAACATTAAAAAAACAAACAACCGCAACTAGGGTAGGATGTGGTTCAATCACGTTCTGCACGTGCATGTTGAATACAGTGTTATTTTGACTGACAGGTGCGTGCATGTCGCTATTGACATCGTGTCCTGTTATTCCAGTTTTATCCAGCGGATGCACACGTTCTCATGGAAACGTCAAGATCTGAAATGTGTTTTAAATGTGAAATAGACACAAGAAACGCTAATAACCTTGTTTACCGTTATGCGTGTTTCGTATTACGACATATCGTCAAGTTTTAACTGTGAGGAAAATGTGAAATAAACACATGACAGTTATTAACATCGTTTACTGTTATCTGTGTTTCATGTTTCTTTTACACGCGTTGGTATGTAAACGTGGCGACTTGGAATGTTTGAAAGATAGGAAACAGAAACAAGGGTCGTGATAGAGCTGTAGCCACAGCCACCGTCTGTGGTTGATGCTGACAAGCAAAATGATGTTATTTACTGTTAATCGATTTGTTGATGGAGTGTTGAAGTTGTCATTTTGAGGAGCATCCTCGTCCCCAATCTAATTCACCCCTCTCAGAAGATATGTTTTCACACAGGAAATAATCCATTAAAATGTTACAAGTTCGAGGCATAAGAAGTTCAACATACTCTCAACAATGTGCACGGACTAGCTATCAACGGCAACGGGTGGTTAGACTGGTTGAGTTGCCTAGATCGATGCTCATGATGTCAATCACTGGGTCGAGACTCTATTATTTAAGGACCACTGCCATTTAGCTGGAGTATTGCTGCGTGCGACGTTAAGAAAAAAAGCAAAAAACCCCCAAAAACCACCCCAACACCACACACACCACACACACACAAAAAGAAAATTAAAAAACATGAACAAAGTACCTGCTACCCTCATAAACTGCCTTAAAGCTATGTTTTCCGCAGATCGACCCTTGTCTTTTCTTGTCCTCACACACGGGTAATCACGTAACTTGCTGACATTAAGGAACATCAACGCTGATGAACAATATTTGAAATATAACGGTTAGCCGAGTTGAATTGACGAGTGGAGAATATGGAGTACTGCGTCAATGAGCATGAGAGTTCTATGTTTGCAGTCTTATTAACCTGTTTGTTTCTACCGGGTTGTAAACAAAAGCGAATCAATTCCATGCATGTGCCAACACATTTACTTGCTTCGAAATCTTGCTACTTACAACAGAGTAGTTATTTAGCGTTGAGTTGCTACACAAAAAGACGTGAAGAGGTGGTCCAATTTTCCTCCCAGAAAACAAGAAAAACACAACCCGACAAATTGCTGGATGAAAGAATTTTTCCAGGGGCTATATAAACACAAGCGAGACGCATATCGGAAACTCCTGCTTGTTGCCTTCGAAAGGGGAACCATATTTTTTGGTCCACGTTTTTCTTGAGCATTGCTTACAAATGAGCCCAGCCCAGCCCCCATATCTCGTGCAGCACGTGCGAGACACCTGTGACGCACGCGCGAACGTGATGTCGATTTCATCTGAGCCATATAACCGACTGTCCAGACAGTCTCAGGCTCTGCCGCACATTGACTAATCTCGGCGTCATGTTTAGCACTAAACAAATCCCAGTTTATTCCGAATGAGTTATTTGGCTGGACAAAGTGTGAAATTACATCGCTATTTCATTTTCTAAAACGAAATCGGAGGAAACATACCTAAACAGTTCACGGCACACGAAGAAAGACACATCAAGCCGTTTAAACCGGCATGCTCTGTTGGCATTTCCACTAACTGACATTAATATATGTTTGATACGTTAAATTTACCTTCCAACGACTCCGTATAGACGATCATATAAAAGTCATAAATAATAACAGACTAACCTGACGTCAAGAACATATATGTTTAAAGAATATATTCGTCACCCAGTGATTTAGAATGTTAGTCTATAATAAACAGCATCGAATGACTAAACAGATTGAAAATATGCACTATGAATATTTTGATATTACAATGAACATCTCAACGATTAAATGGCTTGTATGCGATAGTTATTTCACTCTACAGCCTCATCGTTTAGCTCCAATTACAACGCGAATTCAAAAACTGATTTTTTTCGGGTGAGTCATTACATAAACATGTAAATCACTGAACAAACTAGCCCCGCCTGCTATTTTACAGCCTGGCTTGCCTCTCGCATAAACCTGTATTAATATCGCTAATGTTGTGAGAGAGATCCGGCAATACGACACCTGAGCTGAAAGCGAACCTGTTTTGAGCCTTTTATCTGAACAAAACATATCGCCAGCGTCTATATTGCTGACTCAAGCGTGCAGTAACACCCGACTTTCAGGTTTTACGATATATTTCAATTTGAAGTTAAGTTTTTCTCACGAAGACAAACTATGCATTCAGGCTTTGCGTGCGTTGTTCGCGGAAGATATGTTTCAGATTTGCTGACTTAAGTTACCCCTATTTCAATAAGCGTCGGCTAGTTGTTCGACTTATTCCTTGATGTTACCGATGGGTTGGTGTGGCTTTTCGGGACGTATGGAGTTTTATTTTATCAAGAATTTCTTTAGTTGAAATCTGTAGTTAAACCGGCCTCGCGTGCACAGGACCCAGTGTGAGACCTGGAACCCCAGTACATTCCCAATATAACATATCACGGATACACATCCACTCACTGAACCTCCCCCACCCCCTCCATTAATCCCACCCCTCACCCACTCTGCCCACCCCTCATTCTCTATATTGTACTGCTTGCTGCTCTTAAAACCACCACGAAATAATCCTAAACGTGATGTTAAACCACAACGAAATACTATAAAAAGAAAATTTTAACCACAACGAATTACTATAAAAGTGATGTTAAACCAGAATAATCTTATCTGTTACACAGTTATCCTCCTAAAGTGATGTCAAACCACACAGGAAAACCTTTTCAAAGTGATGTTAAAGTCCAAAGTGATGTTAAAGTACAAAATAGACCTCTCCAAAGTGATGATGAAGTACAAAGTGATGTTAAAAATGACCTCTACAAAGTACATGTTAAAGTACAAAGTGATGTTAAAGTACAAAATAGACCTCTCCAAAGTGATGATGAAGTACAAAGTGATGTTAAAGTACAAAATAGACCTCTCCAAAGTGATGATGAAGTACAAAGTGATGTTAAAGTACAAAGTACATGTTAAAGTACAATGTGATGTTAAAGTACAAAGTACATGTTAAAGTACAATGTAATGTTAAAGTACAAAGTACATGTTTTCAAAGTGATGTTAAAGTACAAAATAAACCTTTCCACAGTGATGGTAAAGTACGAAGTAAACCCTTCAAAGTGATGTTAAAGAAAACGTCAAAGTGACGTTAACCCACCACGAAATCAACACCACCAGCGAAACAGTTGTATATCGTCACCGTTAGTCGCATGTTCTCACTTACATTGACGATGTTAAACCATGTGTATGTAATTGTCAGCCAAATCACAACTCACCAAGAAGGCACTGTACGCGCTTCAGAATGGAACCCAACATGAAGAAATATTTAAAAAAACATTGTATATTTCGTTTATGTAATTTGACACCTTCCATCACGCGCCGGTGGTTATAACGCAGTAACGTTATCCAAGGTCCATAAAAAGACCTTATTTGAATAATGCACCTTTGAAATTTGTAGTTATCAGCACACCGCAATCCCGTTCAGCGACAACCAGGAGGTCTGTGCTAAACAGTTATTGATTTCTGCAAGATCATCAAGTTTCTCTAAAGGCGATGACGTCATCGCGCAACATCGAATGCCACGGAGCCCTGTTCACGTGTTAGGAATCCATGTTTTATTTCTCGAGAGAAAAAATCTTCAACGATAATTGATTTTTGCGCAAATGCCAAATACAGCGAAGGTACAAAAAAATAATAAAAACCGGAATTGTTTCAACTGGACGCAGTTATTTTTATTTCACAGATGATTTGGTAACGGATTTATACCACTCTAAGTGTAAAGTAACAAAATATTGAGATTAATGACAAAATGATTCAAAGCTAATGGCTATTCACTGAGTATTAAATCGGCTCTTTGGTTTAATGACATATCTTGATATCATTATCCTATTTGTACAACACCGAAACTAAAGTCAAATATAATTATAAGTAATTTGCGAAAAGTCTTTGAAATAATTAAGACTAATTAGTCCTGGGATATCTATTACTCGCTGGAGATCGATATCATCTGATTGAGAACACAATCACATAATACCCATTGACATATACATTACGCCCTTGTCAATTGCGCATATAACATTATGTACTGTATTTTGTCAATAATTATATATCTCGAGGTGCAATTATATAAATGTACATACTATTTATTCACAATTGCCCCGTAATCACGAAATATGTCATCCGGATTAGGGGGGAGAGTTCTTTTGCATTTCGTTCACAGGAACTGACAGTCACGTAAGATACATCATTATATGCATCGTGTGCCGACCGTCAAAATAGATTCTCGAACAGAACTCCTTAATAGATGCGCCTGTAACTTTAGAAGTGTGTTTTATTTCATTTTGAGATTCAAGTTTCTTCATGGCATTTAGATCGATTTTGGAAAATTGAAAAATGAGGAAGACGAATGAAATCAGATTTTTTTTATTTAACTGCCTTTGTCTAAGGTTCCGCTGTATCT